GGCGATCAGCATAGCTAGGCTAGCTTTACTTTCAGCTATTCGGAATAGTCCGGTTGTAGACTTCCTTAGATTTTGAAGCCAAGATATTCTTCTTCTCCTGGTCTTCTCTTTTCAAATACCTTGGCCTGAAGAATGAATTCCAATAAGCCATATATGTGTTCATTTCTAATAACATGGCCAAGATATTCTAATTTGCGCTCTTTCATTGTGTTAGTGATCTTGCATTCCTTTTCCATTCTACATGGGATCTCAATATTAGTCAAAAAGAAGCTTCAGACAGCCTCTACTCTGTATAATAATGCAGAAAATACATAACATCTGATGATGGAGATTTTGGTACTAAGTGGTAAATCGTGACTTCTGAAAAGAGACTTCATCTTTACGAACGCTGATCTTGCTTTCCTTATGCGTTGTTTTATTTCAGTAGAGTGGTTCCATTGACTGTTTATGTTCGTAACAAGATATGTGTAGCTGTTTATCCTGTCAATTGGCTGTTGGTTTACCAAAAGATATGTATTTAATATTTCGCGCTTACTAACTAGCATGTGTTCGTATCGAAATATATGTATACATATTTGGGTAAGTAAAAACCGTCTATAGGTAATGGATTTTGATAAGAGCTATGATCTTGTAAATAACAAGTAAACTTCTGTATTGCATCGGTATGATTCTTAGCTCTTGTCAAAATCCATTACCGCTAAATAACTGGTAACTGCATTGATGATGGATTTAGTAGTCCAAAAAGAACTCATGGTATATAGCCAACTATAGGAATTTCATTTTCCTTGTGGATGTTCCACAAATTCTTCCGATACCGGGAATCGAACCCGAGCCTCCTGGGTGAGAGCCAGGTATCCTAGCCACTAGACCATATCGGAGTTACCTTTTGATTTTCCGGTTGATTTACGGGTAGTGCAGAAATCCTTTTAAATTTTCAACCATAGTAGTACACTGTATTGTAAGTAATAACAAGCATTGTTCGGCTATAAAACAAAATATTAAACCAAAAATATTTTATAAGAATATCTTTGATGTTTTATTAAAAAGAGTTTTCCGATACCGGGAATCGAACCCGAGCCTCCTGGGTGAAAGCCAGGTATCCTAGCCACTAGACCATATCGGATCTACATTTTAATATTTTGGTTGACCGCTGGCCATCACTTAAATTTTTATTCAATTATCAAAAATAGAAACAATACTATTCCAACGCGATAACCTTAGTAAAGTTTTTGTATCATTATTAGATCATAAAACAAAATATTAAACCAAAAATATTTATAAAAAATCTTTTTAATATTAAAAAACAATATTCCGATACCGGGAATCGAACCCGAGCCTCCTGGGTGAAAGCCAGGTATCCTAGCCACTAGACCATATCGGAGTTATGCTAATGAGTTTGATGAATAATCGCCCATCACCAAAATATTTTAATTTTTCTGATAAATAGCATATAATAAAGTGATCATTGTATTTAATCATAAAAATTACGTTTTTATGAATAGTTTACGTTAAAACAAAATATTTAAGTGGATATAGTAAGGAAAAATTGGTTTTAAAAAACAGAAATGTTCTAAATTGAATTTTACCGCTCAAAAAGTAGTAAAAGTTATTGTTTTTCTTTTCAGACGCCCAACAAAGTTGCTCCTCGGCCGACGTGTCTCCTCAAGATGAAGATCGATGTTTCGACATCTCCGACTCTGAATCTTCCGAGGATGGCAACTTAAGCAACCGCGGCACCGTCCAAAGACGGGGTATTGTTAATCCCAACTACCCCGGCTTTCAGCATCTGGCTCATACGCTCACCTCTGACGCAGAATACACTGATGATGATCTGGACTGCGTTTCTCCTGTCCATGGGGAGATAATTCGGTAAGAATGTTTTTATATTACGTCAATATTATTCGAGTGATCTTCTTTTTAATGTTCTATGTCTTGCCTTTCCGTTGATCCCTTTCCATCTGGAGATTCCTTTCTTTTTTGTTAACTACTTTTTTCTTAGTTATTCGTGTTGGACGTTGGACCTTTTCCAAGAATTTATCTTTTATTTATGTTAACACAATTGCTGCTTCTAGTGTTGTTCTTTGTTCTCCATAATACTATTCTATTTAATATTACTTTTGCGTTTTGTTCTGTGTTATATGTTGTTATATTTAGTCTTACCTATAAAACATTTTCCGGTTTTTTTTAAACAGATTTGTAAAATAGGAAATTCACTCGTCTCTGTTGCTATGTTGTGGGTGATTTGAACAATTACAACTTTTACTTACGATTTGATTCTTGTTTCAGAGATTCTCTGACTGCAAAGCTTGAGGCTGAAGCGAACAACAACAACAACGTGGAAGAAAGTGACACAGACTACAAAATTGACAGTGTGAATCGTTTGGATAGTGTCGAAAATATCCAAAAAGTGTTCTATGATAAACCGGTTTATAACATTGAAGATGACAGTGAGTTTAATCAAAACAGTGAATGTAGTAGTGCTAATTCTAATAATAGCGGTGATGAAGAAGCTGACGTTAAAGTAAATTTGAATATACGACTAGACGAGAGGGCCATTCCAATAGAAGATATTGTTGGTAAGGTTTTTTGTTGTTCTCAACTTCCTTGCATCACGTTTTTCGTTCTTTAGCTTCCCATAATATTTTAATAATTTATTATCTTGTTATCTTAGGTGACTTCAGGCAAGAGGTAGAAGAAGAATTAGGTCGAGTCAGTCTTCACAGTGAAGCCATTTTCGACTGCTCTTCTCTTCCTAGAATCGAAAAAGCGACTATTCAAGAACTAGAGGAAGCTGCTGAAAAACTTCAAGTTCTTAAAGATCTTTCACCAACGGCCATCAAATATAACATTGAACCAAACATTGAACAACCCTTCAACAAGCTATCTCCAAGCAAATCGCTACCTCTGCATCAAATTCTTGAGGATTCTGAAATTATTAGGAAGAATATAGTGGATTCTACTTTTACGATATCATCTGATCTTAAAAAAGACAATTTGAATACAGAACTGAAACTTTGTAACACTGAAATCATTACACAAACATCTCTGCAGGAGTTTGATCAGTTAACACAAACAGATCACACAGAAAACAGTTCTGCAAGTTTAGAATCAGCTATAAGCTCGGAATCAAGGAAGATGGAGGATTCACTGCAAGTTAAAATTGTCGATGCATTTCTGTCAAGTGCTAAAGAAAATATTTGCGGTCCAAATCTTCCCGAACTGTTGGTTGATGCTAACTTAAACTTTGGAGAATCAAAAATGGAGGTAAGTGCTAGTTATAACCAGTCAGTACTAGGCTTCCTAGACAAAACTTGGATCTTTTTGTTAGTCTAATAAATTATTTCCAGAATATTGACAGAAGAGTGTGACTCACTAACTTGTAAGTCTCTCTATTCCTCTCAAAATTTTATTATTCTTGTTGTTTCTTTATTTTCTATATTTCTTTTTACCATTCTTGTACATTCTGACAGCGATACAACACTGTTGCGACTATCTGGTCCATGTATATCGTGGTCTCGCCTCTTCCTCTTCTATCTCCGAATTTTCCCATATATGGTAAGTTTCCTGAGACCGTTCCTTCGAAAACGTCGCCTGAGTAGCTTATTACTTGCGTTCGTAGTTTTTTCTTCTTGATCTTGAATTGCTTTGGTAGTAATTTTTATTTCTTCTTGGAAAATCAAAACTCGGCAGCCTACAGAAAAACTGTCAAAACTAAGCAGTTTATTTGGAAAAGCACATGGGAAAATATATTCCTTTAAATAAAAAATAAATAAAATATATATTCTGGTCTTTAAATATCAGCAATTAATACTGAAGTACTAAAGAAAATTGTTGCAGATTACTAAGGCACTTCATAAACATATGGTATATATCTTTGTTCAAGCTGATACAGCTTTCCCGAATTCTTATTGAGATTATAAATAAATGGAAAATGCACAATAATCAAAATGACCGTAACATCTACTACTGGATCATCTTACTATCTTTATCTAGCAAATAGTAGTCCAACTGTATTGAGAAAACAGGAGTGATGGGAGAAGAAACAAAATGTGATCTTAGTGAGAGCGCCACCAAAGTGCGTGGCACGTGGCACGTAGCAAGTAGCACGCGTCTAGCATGTTACTTAAAATGTAACCAATGAAAACGAATGATTCAGCGCACACCAAAATGACAGTGACGTCATTCGATCTAATCATTCGTTTACATTGGTTACATTTTATATAACATGCTAGACGCATGCTACTTGCTACTTGTCACGTGCCACGCCACTTTGGTGGGCGTGGCACGTGACAAGTAGTGACAGTGGTGGCGTTATATGTTAATGACATTTTTTCTTACTGGTTGCATATCGCATCGAGTACGACTCATCTAGTACAATTAATACCTTCTTCTATAATTATTTAAGTTGGTTCATTTTTTTATCTTTGATACCTTTGTCTTCTTTTTCTTCAGCAACCATTTTTTTCCATCCACTCCTGATGTAGGTCTCTCCCAATTGTTTTCATCTTTCTTTATCTCGCAACAATCTAATCCACTGTTTGACTGCCACTTCTCTCACGTCATCTATACGTCTCTTTTAAGGTCTTCCCATGCTTCTTGTCGTTTCACTTGGTCTTCATTCTAGGCTTCTCTATGTCCACCTGTTATCATCATATCTGGCAATTTGACTGCCCTGCACCATTTCATTTTTGTAATTTGTTCCACAATATCCCTGATCTTCGTTCTACGTCTGATCTTGTTGTTTCTAATCTGGTCTTTCAGTAATATTCCAATCATGTTTCATTCCATTGCTCTTTGCATTGTTTTTAGTTTTTTAGCAGATTTCTTGGTAAGGGTTACGGTCATTAACTCCTACAGTTGGATACCCTTGTAAACAGGTGCTATGGGTTGGATATCCTTGTAAATGGACTTAATTAAATGAAGGTGCAATAATTTTGCAATCTTTCTTCCAGATTGATACGTGTTTAAAGAAAAAAGACTCAAATCGGGAGCTGGAGGAACTCGAATGCCAAATAAAGAAAATTAAATCAGATACTCGTCTCCCAGAAGACGAAGTTGAAAAGTTTTGCAAAGAAGACGTCACGAACGGCTACAAAGAAAAAGACGACGACAGTACCGTTCCGAGAAAGAAAGAAAAAGTCGAAACTCACGCGAAAAAGAGGAGAGACTACAATCAGCAGACCGGTAGTTTGATTACGTTTCCTAGGAGAGAAGGGGGAGCTAGAAGTAGGGAGACTTTGAATAGACGATCGGTGCCCATTGTGAGGGAGAAAAAGAAGGCAAATCATGAGTCTTTGGGTAAGTTACATCTTTAATTTATGCTCTATTTTATACTGTTTGTTTATGTAAAGAATATTTTTCCTTTGGATTCCATTTTAATACAAAATGACACATTAGACATTTGAAATATTACACGCACTTAAAATTAGCAAAAACAGAAAACAGCTGGCCTTGACGGTACTCCAGTAACAGTACTGAAGTTGGATACTTGAAAACATCAAATAAAATCATTAGCTTTTATAATATAACAATAGAAAAAAATAGAAAACAATAACTTTTAATGTAACATTTATAACAAAATGAACATTTGCAGTTAAATTTATTAGCTTTTACTTATGTTCAAATTGTTACAGTTAAAAATAGCGTTTGTGTACATCGCCAAATTCAAAATATCCCATCCATTCCTTGTTCCGTCTCACAAATCATCAAATAATAATTACCGTTATTTAGGCACAAACACACCGTTCCATTTAACTCGATGGGGTCATTTCGGGTATGCACTGGGTTTAGATAAGGGCTTTATAATGGTCGACGTGACAATTGTGACGTTGTCGCTTGTTTGAAAACCGGATTCCGGAATCTGCCGACGGTAGACACATTATGTAGCAGGTCCTGAGGGAGTTTACCTCAAAAGGGCGTGAATTGGGTCCGTGGCACAAAGTAACGAGGTAGCAATGTTTCAGGACCGGTGTAACTCGACACGAACAAATAGACTCGAAGTGATTGCGGTATAAGAGTAATCCGCCTACTTTAACATGACTATATTCGTATGGGCTTCTCAAAATTCACACAGATCTGACTTTGCCATCGTTTGCGACATAATAGAGAAGAAAGAAACCCTGAATGCCAGCAGTACAACATAGTGGGATAAAAGGAATAATAAAAATACACATAAATATCAAATGTAAATTTCATAAATATATTGTATCAAAAATAAGACAAAAAAAATATCTTATTTAAAATTCATTAATATACTATTTCAACACAAAATCCATATACCTGCTATATAAAATGAATAACATTTTCTCTAACACATCAAAATTATGACATCTAAATTGTAAAAATCCAAACATACGTTCCTAACGTGTTCTTTAATTCTAGGAATCAAATAAGAAAAACTGTTTATATTTACAGGTCGATAACTTTTCCAAACACCTCTTACTCCCTACGACTCTCTTTTGAAAATTTTAAATCAAAATTTAGTCTGAAAATTGACAGTGTTCTTCGCGTCTTAAAATCCTCTTTCTCCTAGTTCAAAGTACTCTCCTCGTGGGTCAATCTTTGGTAAAAAAATTAACTTCTCTTTTTGCTCTTATCAAAATAAAATATTGACAATCAAATGCTGCTTATAACTCTCCAAATCTGGTAGCCTCTTAAAAAGGATATCCCCAACAAAGATAATTTGTTGTATTTAAAAAAACTTACAATTTGTTTGAAAATATTGTCTTCGTAAGTGGGTATATTTATTTAAAAATCCTTAAAAGGGCTACATAAAAAAAAAACAAATGTTTTCGGACTAAACAGTCCATCATCAGGTTTAAAATCGCTAGGTTAAAATGCCTGAGCCACCAAAAATACATGGGTAAAAACCCTTTAAATTACATATAGTTATAAAAGATTATACATCTTGATGTTAAAAAACTGTGATGTCCAGTATTAAATTAAATATGACTTCAGGTAACATACATTGTGAAAATTGAGTTCCAGAGCCGGGGAGAAAACCTCTACGCACGGAGAACAGCTGGAAACTGCGGAACTGCTGGAACTACGTTCTCCGTGCGTAGAGGTTTTCTCCCCGGCTCTGGAACTCAATTTTTACAATGTATGTTACCTGAAGTCATATTTAATTTAATACTGGACATCACAGTTTTTTAACATCAAGATGTATAATCTTTTATAACTATATGTAATTTAAAGGGTTTTTACCCATGTATTTTTGGTGGCTCAGGCATTTTAACCTAGCGATTTTAAACCTGATGATAGACTGTTTAGTCCGAAAACGTTTGTTTTTTTGATGTAGAACTTTTAAGGGTTTTTAAATAAATATACCCACTTACGAAGACTAACCTCTTTTTTGTGATACGTGGTATACAGCCAGCTACAGGAATTGTTTTCCTTGTGGATTTTGAAAATATTTGCTTTGCACTGCTTGGCCGCTAACACAAAAACTTAACGATTTTTCCCACTATTCACTTTTTATCAAACCAGCAAAAACACAAAAATTTATTTTTCTTTAATAATATTTTAAAAATTAAAACAACGTTTCTCTTTCAAATCTCGTATTGAACTCGTCTTTAAAAAATTGTCTCCTTTTTCAAAACCAAAACTGTCGTTTTCTGTCATACCATTTTCTAAAATTTCTTCGTTGATCAATCAACACACTCCTATAAAAAATATCTTTCCCACTTTTTCTTTCGTCCAATCCTATTCTATTATACACACAACATACTACCCGCTTCTTTCTTGACAATAAAATCTACGTCATACACTCATTTGGCATAGATGCGGGATTGGCGCGGGAGTTAGTGCGAACATTTCTGACAGTGAGATTTTGACTCGCGGATGAACCCAGAGAGATTTTCTTTATCAGAGGTTTCCATGTCGAAGTTAGCCGTACGGCGTCATAAAGAAAACATAGCATGAAGCTCCGTACTAATCTACAGTTAAACCTACTGTACCACCTTTTTTATAATCACTCGAGAACGACTACATAATTTTGACTAATTTTGATTTTGAAATATTTATTGAAGTCCAAGGAAGCTTTAAAAGGTGAAAAAATATAACGAAATTATAAAACAATTATTAAAATTAACAGTTTTATTTTCCCATACAGTTTCATTGTAGTCTTATACGACTCCACCTCTACAGTATTAGTTCATATTTGTAATATAGACTGTAGTTCAATTAATAGTTATTTAGTTGGTATGAAATTATACGAAAAGCAAAGTGAAGTCAGTATCCTATGGCATGTATAATAAATTAAGTTAAAATCCGACTGATACATAGGCCCCATAATTTTATTATAATTAGTATGCTGCATTGCTTTACCACTTCAAAAGCCAACCCTGTACACTATAATCTTCATTATTGTCCATTAGAACCGCGAAAATTGTGTGCCAGCGGTTGTTTTATACAGTCGCTAAAATTTAAGGTCCATTTGTGGGTGCATTTCCAAAAAATATGGATCGTATGAACCAAAATGCCTGTCACTTCAATAAAAAATATGAATAAGTGTTCTGTCATAATAGGTTATGTTTTAGTAGATTCTATGTATTTTTAAAGTTATGGTCGAACAAAATGAAGTCAATTTGATTTCTACTCTTCTCGTCTGCAGATGTATTCCAAGTGCATAGCCTTTTAGGACTTTGTTTGAGAATATGTTGGCTATTAAAAGTTTGTTCTCTACACATAACTGTACAAGTCTATTTCCTCTATTGTTTCTAGTACCGACACCGTATGCTCCTATGTTGGCTTCTTCGGCAACATAGCCAATTTTGGCGTTAAAGTCGCCCATGATCGCCTAAGTCGCTATGTTACCTCGCCTTTTTTATCAGTCGCATATTTCATCTATGTTATTGTTATAAAATATTTCGACTTATTACTCCGACATGTAACTTGCTCTAGCAATAGACCTGAATTTATATTCGGCCTCATCTCATAAATAAATAAATTGTTGGTAGGAATACCAAATAAACTTACCTACTATAGGTGTTTGTATTGACACCTCACCGAAATATTCACAATTAATATTTGTCTGTGATGACGAATATTAACAATATTGGGATACTTAATAAATTTCTTAATTTTTTCTTCTTTCTCTTTGGAAATTATTTAAGTAAATATCTGTTTGTGATGACAAATATCGTCAATAATATAGTTGTTAATACCATCTGAAAAAATTATGCAGAGAAAATATTTGTTTGTGATGACAAATATTCAGGACAAAATATTTGTTGGGATAACAAAATTTGTAGAATAACAATTATTAAAAAAAAAATAATACCTTACTGTTTGTAGTGACAAACTTAATCGTATGTTTTAAAATAAATATTTGGGTTTCAGGTTAGATAGAAGGTAGTGTGTCTTTTGGATTTTTAAAAGACATTTTATCAATTCTGGGTGATGATAATAAAGTAAAAATATCATTTGAAACCCCCATACAAATAGATATTGCCGCTCAATGGGCTCATATTTAACTTCTGGAAGATATCTTCTTCCTCTGGAGAGGAAGATATCCGCAAAGACCTTACAAGAAATATCTGCCTCCTGAAAATTGCAATCTTGTCGCTCCTCCAAATATAAATCCGGAAGTAAAAATAGCAGTAAGTGACTCCATACTTCGCAGAGATGCTCGTTTGGTACTGCATCAGCAACAAATTGCTTTAACAAACATGCTTGGTGAAAGGGATGGAAGAAATAAAGAGTATATTATGCGACTTAGCAATGCCAGTCGCTTAATAGACGGCGAAAAAATTGGAGAAATCAGGGCAATAATTGAAAGCAAAAAAGAAACAGGTGTCAAGAATCAGTGTACAACCATCTACATCAAGAATTCAGGGAAACTACAGGAGTCCATGTTCCCTCAAGTATAGAGCCAGGAAAAGTGGACAAATGAATCGAGCTCCTTCACACTCCAATCAGAAAAAGATCCGGAATAATATTTATGTTTATAAGGATTGTTTGTCCTTTCAACATTGCTACTCTATGATAACACCAGCAATCATTCTCATTGTACTGTTCAACTGGACATCTACTTTGGGTATATGTGGGCTGTTAAGCCAGGCTGAAGAGCAGTATTCCGCGGTTGGGAAGACAAGGCCCAGGGCTGATGATCGCAAGGTGGAAGCCGATGCTCCCCATGTTGTGCCGCACAACCTCTGGATGATGCTGTTTCTGGATTTAGGTTTTCCCACTGTTTTTCTTCTGTTTGTTCAAATGACTTACACTTTGTTGCAAGGACCCAGTCATCGGCGTAATCAAACTTCCTTAATCTGGTTTCTAGTATATCAGCGATGTACAGGCTAAAGAGAAGAGGAGCTAGGACGGATCCCTGATGCAGTCCATTCTTCAGTTTTCTTGGGGTGCTGATGTCGGTTCCCATGACTGCTTGAATCATTCGGTCGGCTAGCATGTTGTTGAATATTCGAGCTCTGAATTTATAGGAGATTGTACGGAGGAGCTTGTATATCATGCCTTCTCTCAAGAGTGCATCGTAGGCCGCTATTAGGTCTATGAATAAGGCAGCTTCTGGCCAGCTTCTTTTCGGTCGGAAACCTGCCTGATCAACTGTAGCTTTGGACTAATTCTGTTATAGATAAGTCGTTCTAGTAGCTTGAACGTTGCCGATAGTATGGCTGTTGGTCTGAAATATGTATGAAATACGAAATATATAAAATAAGTAATTCAAATAAACAACTAAATAAGGTCGTATGGCAAAAATATTAAGAATACTTCAAACAATATATTTAAATAAGCACTAAATACTTTTAAAGCGGTCTAAAATTGTCTTTGATTCGCAGTTAAATAGAAAATTATATTAAACTGATCTTCTCAGACAGCTAAAGCAGTTGGTAAAGCAAATTCTGCTTTATATATTATATCATAAGCTTTTAAAGACCCCATACTTGTTTTTGAAACTTCGAAACTTATGTCACATCTCACCTAGAATTTGCTGTATCGGTTTTGCTACTCTACTTTCGAAGAGACATTAATTTAGTAGAGTAAGTACAACGAAGAGCTACCAAGTTACCCATTAATTAATTATGAAAAGTTAAGTTATGGAACAAGGCTAAATAATCACAAATTTTGTAATAAATAGATTTAAAAAAAAAAGAATAACCCCACCTACTAGTATATTAACAAAGCCTGCGTTATTTGCTTTTCATATAAATGTCAAATTCAGACGAAATATTAAATTAATAATAAAATATAAATAAATATTATTTGATAGTAAATTTAATTATTATATAAACTAAATAAAATGTGTAAAAATATTAATTGTATTTATATGAAATTATTTCTAACCGAAAACTGCAATAAAAATGTAAATAGATGATTCAATATGGTTATCAATTGGGTGACATTTATGACTTTTATGATTTTTAAATAGTGACAATTATTACGAATCGAATCTTTTATTGACAGATTATCCTTAATTTTTACTTCTCGTATTGTGTATGCCTGTATTTTTTAGTTATTTTTTATGCGGTTTTTAATTTAAATCTGCTTAAAATAAATATACAGGGTTAAGCGTTATTGCGAGGTGGTACAATTACTCATTTGTCTTAAGAAATACGAAAAAAATTATTTAGGTAAAAGTTGGAACGCAGATAGTGTAGCATTTCGATTAACCTTCTTCTTCTTTGAGTGCCTCTCCTATCGGAGATTGGATATCATTATGGCGATTCTAATTTTATTAACTGCTGTTTTGAATAATTCGTTTGTGGTACAGCCAAACCACTCTCTTAAATTTCTCATCCAGGACATTCTTCTACGGCCTGGATTTCTGGGTCCTTGGATTTTTCCTTGCATTATATTTTGTAGGAACGTGTACTTTTGTCCTCTCACTAGGTGGCCTAAGTATTCAAGTTTTCTCTTTTTTATATTCATAATAACTTCTGGATCGTTATTTATTCTGCGTATTACCTCTTCATTTGTAATTTTATCCACCCAATTTATTTTTAGTATATGGCGGTAGCACCACATCTCAAAGCTTTCAAGATTTTTAATATTCCTCTGTTTAAGAGTCCATGCCTCAACACCGTAAAGCAAAGTACTGAATACATAACATTTTAACATTCTAGTTCGTAGATGAATGCTAATATCACGATTACAAATTTTTTTTTCATTTTTATAAAGATAGACCTGGCAATTTCAATACGTCTTTTTATCTCGTGATTTTGGTCACCTGTGTGTCACCAAGTATTTGTATTCGCTTACTTTTTCAACTTGAGTACCGTTTATTGCGTTACTAGTGTCATGTATTGGATTCTTACTAAAGGTCATATATTTGGTTTTTTTTACGTTCATCCTTATGCCGTAGTTATTACATATCTCATTCATACTTTCAACTAGATGTTGTAGATCTTCCGCTCTTCTTGCCATTATTACAGTATCGTCAGCATATCGAATGTTATTGATAACTTCTCCATTGACTATTATCCCTTCGTTTGCATGTGAGAGAGCTTCTTGGCATATTTGTTTGCTGTAGATATTAAACAAAAGCGGTGACAATATACAACCCTGTCGTACTTCTCTACGTATTTCTATTTCGTCCGATGTTTGGTCTTCTACCTTTATATTAGCTCGCTGATTCCAGTACAGATTTAATATTATTTGTATGTCTCTGGTGTCGATGTTCTTACCTTCCAGGATTTCTTTGAGTTGATTGTGGCGTACTTTGTCAAAGACCTTTTCAAAGTCTATAAAGCAGGCATGCACCTCTTGTTTAACATCTAGACATCTCTGTGTTAGGACATTTAAGGCAAAGAGAGCTTCTCTTGTACCTAATCCTTTTCTGAATCCCATCTGTGTATCGTTAATATCGATATTTAACTTTTGATAGATTCAGTTGTGGATGACTCTAAGAAACATTTTAAGAAGGTGACTCATCAAGGAGATTGTTCGATAATCTGAACATTGCATTGCCTTAGTTTTCTTTGGTATGGTGATAAACGTAGACAGCAACCATTCTTGAGGTATTATACCAGTACTGTATATTGTATTGAATAGATGTAATATTATGGTTACGGATTTATCATTCGAAAGCTTTAACAGTTCTACAGGAATTTTATCAGGTTCATTTGCTTTTCCATTTTTAGTGTTTCTTATTAGTTAAGTTGTTTCTATCGTCTTCAAATAATTCATTAAGGTATTCTGTCCATCTTTTTATTTTATTCTCTAGATCTACAATAAGATTTCCATCTCTGTTTTTAAGTTAACCTATTTGGCACTTATTTATGCTTCCTATTATCTCTTTTACTTCTTAGTGCATATTGAACGCATCGTACTTTTTCTCATAGGTTTCCATTTCTTCACATTGTTCTTTAATCCACTCCTCATTGGCTTCTTTTATTCTCTTTTTTATGTGTTTATTTATTTCTTTGTATTTATCTGGGTAATTCTTCATCTTTCTTTTTTGTTCCATCAAGTCTAGTATATCTTGTGTCATCCACCCCTTATTCTTTGTTGTTGTTTTTGTAAGATGTTTCTTTCCTGCTGTTTGTATAGCTGTATTTATGTACTTTAATTTTTGGTTAACGTTATTTGTATCGTTAATTTGTTGCTGCACTGAACGGAGGTGTTCATTTATTTCTTCTCCTGTTTCTTGTCGTATATTTTTGTTTCTAAGTTTATTTGAATCTAGTGCATTTCTGTGTGGTCTTCTAATCTTTTTTGGTCTCGCCTCTATCACAGTAACTACCGGGTTATGATCTGAGCCTATATCAGCTCCTGGGCACGTCTTAGTACATTTAACAGCATTACGATATCTCGTATATATTAAAACACTGAAAAATATTCTCAATCTTTTTGCGCTTCCAAGATTTATTATATAAACATTTTTAGTCTGTTTATAATTACCACAAATTGCTATTCGTTTGATCTTGATTCCGCTTTAGGAATTTTGCGGATCAAATAAACTGAATATTTTCGTTTATGTTCTGTTTATACCGAGTTGGGAGAATGATATCACTCTAGGATGAACCGCTGCCCAAGCAGTTGATTTAATTGTTTGAGTCCGGATTTTCTTCTTTAAAGTCGTTATCGTTTTTCATTATTCGTTTTTTTTTTGTAATCCGAAAATACTGTAGTAGTAGTTAGGAGAAGCAGATTGAGTTCGGAACAGATAAGATCTCGGTATGTAGTTTTCAAAACCGGCAATTTTTTGGTAAATTTCATGAGTTAAGAAGTGAATTCAATGTCAAAATGCTATTTGGCAGTGTTTGTTTAGTAAGTTAGTTAATTCCCGTCTTGTTGGAAGCTAGCGCGTGATATTAGGAAAGAATACTATTTGTTTTCGCGGAAATTTCCAATATAAAATTGGCATTTTACCTTGTAGAGAGCTTCGAATTATCTAAAATATAATTCGAATTACTCACCAACTTATTACCATTACTTGTATACGAAATGCTAGGGACCAGAATAATAATTCGAATTAAAGAAGATTTCGAATTAGAGAAGTTCGAATTAAGCAGGTTCCACTATATTAAGTATTGATTTAGTAATCTGAGCCACATAAACTTTGTTTGATTAATAATATTGTATGCTGTTTTAAAATGATCTGAATAGATTAATAAAACATAATAATGTCAAATATACACATTCTAGCTTTCCTTGATAAAAATTTTCATTTCAACGACCGCAACATTAAACACCTCATATAACTTTGGGTCCGTTCTACCCTTGGACATAGTTAAGGCCAAAAATTCCGTTTCCGGTACGTGATTTAGAATTTTGGTCTGGAATCGGAATAGATTGAGTCTTCCAGTTACTGATTTACATAATTCATTTCGCAGGCAGCTTCGACGTATACAATATCGAGACAGCCATGCCGAAGATCGATTTGGAGGCAATCGAATGCCACCTTCGGGCAGCCAGGGAGGAGGAACGAAGGGTGAGTAGAAAGTTTTCATTCAAAACGATATTATTTTAAATAAAACACGAAGCATTTGAATTCCAATTATAGTAAAGTCAATGATGTATGACACTAAAGTAATATCGAATTTTGATAATCATTTTAACAAAATTTATAAGGAAGTTAATATTTTTATGTAATATATGTATAATAAACTGTTTTAATTAACCATGTGTGGTTTCGCTAAGGAATAATAAAAAATCCTCATGTGACTTATCCGCGAAACTGAAATTGCTTGCTTGGGCCTCAAGGTTCCGTTCCGGACTACGTCCGGTTCGGAGACTTAGTGCTCAAGAGTTTGGCCCTACGTGCCCGGGTTTTTTGTTTTTGTTAATTTTTTTCTTGGCTTTATCCGGTTTTTGTTAGTGTTTTGTTAATTTTTTTGTTAGCCGAAGCCGTTTTTTATGTTTTTTGTTAGTTTTTTTTTGTAGGATTTCTATAGAAAAATCCTGTTATGGTTTAGTTAGTCCTTGCCCCTTGGGATACACACAGTGTGGCGATTTGCAGTGTTTGTCGACTATTTAGAGCTACGCACTATCCTCTGTTGATTTTTTTTTTCTCTGGGGTTTTTGTTTTCTCTCTGGTGATTTTGTTTATTTCCGTGTTTGATTTTCTCTCTAGAATTTTACTCTCTTTCAGTTCTATTTGTTGTTTAGACCTTTTGTATTTCCATCAGTGGAAATCGTCGTATCTCATGATTTCTCGTAGTATGGGATTAGGATAATTTTCCCGAATTTTGTCCTGGCTTTCATCATCAATCAGCCAATCGCGTCCACTGCTGGACATAGGCCTCCCTCAGTTCTTTCCAGTGTTCTCTACACTGGGCCGCTTATAGCCAGTTTCCCTCTACACGTTTTATATCATCGGTCATCTAGTCGCTGGTCTTCCTCGGCTTCTTTTATAGTTTCTGGGCCTCCATTCCATAATACGTCTTGTCCACCGTCCATCTTGTGTTCTGGCTAAGTGCCCTGCCTAGTTCCACTTAAGCGTCGTGGTTCTTATGATCCAGTCTTGAACTCCTGATCTTTGCTTGATTTGTTGGTTTGTTATGTGGTCTCGAAGGCTCACGTTGAGTATTGCACGTTCCATGGCTCGTTGTATAGTGTCCTGGCTTTATCCTTCATAATTTGTGTCACTTTGACCTGTTGCGGTTCGCTGAATATAAAACGTTCTACTACATATCTTAGGACGTTGATAACTTCTCTTAGGCAGTTGTGAACTATTTGAATTCTTTGTGGTGTTACAAATGTGTCCCCATGTGAGAGATGCATATGTTAGTATCGGTAGAATGATACTGTTTATTAGTCTGATTTTAGTTTTAATCCTCAGTTTGCTTTTTTTGCCTGTGATTCCTCTGATGGATACTTTAGCCATGTTGGCTTTTGCGCTGTGGCGTCTAAGTACTTTTTGAAAATTAGTCCTTTATCCATGATGACTCCTAGGTATTTTGCCTCGCTTTTCCACTTAATGGGATTGTTCTGTACAGTAAGTTGTTGCTCTGGCTGCTGCAATCTCTTTTTGAATATCACCGCTTGCGTTTTGTCGGAGTTTATGGTTATTTTTCATCTAATACTCCATTCTTCGCCAACATCGTGCTGTTTGCAGGTTTTTAACTGTCTACGGTAAATATTGAGTACAACAGGAGTGACAGGACCGCTCCCTGTGGCACTCCAGCCTCCGGGGTTTCGAGCTCGGGCAGAACTTGTCCTACTCCAACTCTAAAGCGCCCGCTGCTCTAGTAAGAAGGGATTAGTCTCGTCATTGCCTCACTGTAGTCACATCCTCTCATTCTGTATACAAGCCCTTTATACCAGACTTCGTCGAATACTTTGGTTACGTCCAGGAAGACTGCTCCTATGTATTGCTTGTCATTGAATCCAGCTGTTATGTACTCTGTTAATCTAAGTACTTGTAGCTCGCTGGAATGGTCAGCTTTGAAGCCAAACTGTGCTTCTGGAATTATTTCAAGCCTGTCCGTTGTGACTTGGAGTCGCCTAAGAATGACTCTTTCCACAATTTTGCTGATTGCTCTAATCCTGTGCGCATGAAAAAGGGTGGTAAAAAAGCATTTAGTTTCCATGTAGTTGTAAGTCTTTGAGTATAACCTCTGGTATTTAAATTTTTTACATGTTTTTCAATTTCTATTGCTTTTCTGATTACACCTTTGGTCCTTTTTTTAATATTAGTTAGCATCGTTGTTTTATTCAAGTTTATTGTATGTCCTGTGCTTATGATATGTTGTGCTAGGGATGACGTCTTCATTTTTCGTTTGGTGTAATTTTGATCGTCTTACCTTTATTCTTCGATTGGTCTGATCGATGTACGATTTGTCACAGTTCTTAGAACGGATTTTGTATACATCTTGATTTTCTTAGGCAATTTTTGTGGTTGGTAATATAGTTGATATTTTTTTAAGGTTTTAAATATAGTCTCTATTTTTTTAGAACTCTTTGGATTTTATCTGTCGTGCTCTTTATATAGGGCATAATAGTTCTACCAAATGGTTTTTCTGTTTCTATTGGGTCTCTGGTTTTGATAAGGAATTTTTGTGTCTTTTGATTGTAAAAGTAGAGAAGCCATTTTTCCTTAACGCTGTTTTAAAACTGTTTCCTTAACGCTGTTTTAACGCTGTTTTTGATTGTAAAAGTGAAGAAGCCATTTTTCCTTAACGCTGTTTTAGCTTTGCTCATTTACTCGCTCTTATGGTCCCCGTCTGTTAGATTTTCAGATCTTGTGAGAGTTTTAATTCTTCTTCTTCTTAACATGCCATACACCAAAGTGCGTAGGCGACTATCTCATTACTAGAATTCTGTTCTTGGCGGCGTGACACAGCTCACCTGTATTGTGTATTCCTGTCCATTCTTTAATATTCCTTAACCAGGATAATTGTTTGCGGCCGGCTCCTCTCCTACCTTCGATCTTCCCTTGTAGGATTAACTGTGGTATTTGATATTTTACTCCTCTCAATATGTGCCCAAGGTAACCAATCTTGCGTTTTTTAATTAATTCAAAGAGTTCTCTTTCCACGCCGGCTCTATTAAGGACGTCATCGTTTCGAACTCTATCCACCCAAGGTATGCGCATCATTCTTCTTAATGACCACATTTCAAATGCTTCAAGTTTGTTGATAGATGTTTTTTTCAAAGTCCACGTTTCCATGCCATAAAGCAAGATGGACTATATGTAGCACTTGACCATTCTGTAGCGTATTTCGAAGTTTAGGTGTTGATTACATAGGAGCGGTCTGAATTTCACAAAAGCTTATCTTGCCATTTGTATTCGGGTTTTTATCTCGTGTTGTGGATCCGATTGGTCATTGATTGTGGTGCCAAGGTATTTAAAAGTTTTTACGCTATTTATACGATTGTCACCTATGCATATTATCGGGTTGTCTGGAGGGTTTCTGCTAATGACCATATATTTCGTTTTTAAAATGTTGATTTTGAGGCCATATTTTTTACCTATGCTATTCACCCTATCAAGTAATAACTGCTGATCTACGTACATACGAATGTATCCAGGATGCTTCTTTATCAAACACCTTTTGTTGATCGAAATACTCTTATCTATTACTGATTAATATTCTTTTGCAAATGTGACATTTTTGTGTTGAATGCAAAAAACCATACTGATTTGTCAGTAATATTAATCTACAGCTTTGATTTATAGCAGGCAATAAATAAAACAAGGACATCCATGATATTTGGCGGAAATATTGGTGTTCTTGTATTTCCCAACACCGAATTTCCATTCGGCTATAACATGCAGATAAACCGCATTAATTAGAGATGAATTTGAGTAATCGAGGGTGATAATTTAATATTAGGTTTAATGTAATGATTGCATGGATCGTTGATGCTAGATCTTCAGTAGCGCACTATCGATATCTTATTTAATGACATTTTTTATTTTCACAGAGATACATATTGATGAAAATATGAAAATATATCGATGTCTAATGAACCATTTCGTGGTATTTAATATATACTGATTTTTTATTAGAAATAAATACTCAAAAAATATTATTTTAAATATTTTGTCGCCTGTATATCTAAAATGATCCTTTCGCTTTCATCGATTAATAATACCTTCCATTGTTCTTTTAAATACCTCTTCTGATTAGGTAGTAAAAAGTCGGGGCGATAAGGCGCCTCCCTATGTGACATATTTCTTTATCACATATTCTTTGATCTGTTTGTTGTTTTCTTTGTTTGCAATTTGGATATTATATAGCTTGCTATTTATTCTACTATCTCTGTAACCGATCTTAGTGCGCCTTACTTTCTCGTATTTTCGATAGTTACGAAAACATGTGTATATGTCAGAATGTTGATACAGAACTATATCTCTTATACTGATCATCTGAGCAAAGAACCTCTCAGAATCTGACATTTTTAACCAATCTAGTCTGATTCCTAAAGACCAATCAATCTAAATCGGATTATCTCATAACGTCGATCATATAGAAAAGTTTCCTCGAATGGTTGTCATTCGGAGAAACGTGATGCAAGAATGACAAATCGAGTACAATAAACCAACATATCTATGTTTTGTAGACCTGACAAAGGCTTTTGATTGCATCCAAGTTAAAGAAATCTTACACCTACTGTATAAAAGAAACATACCAACCAACATTATACAATCCATCGAAAACATCTACTTCCATAATCAAATACAGGCAAAGGTAAAAACTACAAAGCGGAGTCAGACAGGGTGACTCGTTAAGCCCACTTCTCTTTAATATAATAATGGACGAAATAATACAAGCAGTGCGTAAAGGTCATAGTTACAGAATGGGGAACACAAACATCCAAATATGATTCTATGCAGACGACGCCGCATTAATCGCCAAGGCAGAAAACGAGCTCCAAAAATTAAAACACATCTTCAATATAACAGTCAAGAAATATAATATGATAATAACAGCTGAAAAAACCAAATGTACGACAACATCTAAATACCCCCTATGATGTAAAATC